GAGCAGGGAGCCCGATGTGGGACTCGATTCCGGGACTCCAGGATCATGACCTGAGCCGAAGGCAGTCGCTTAACCAACTGAGCCACCCAGGTGCCCTGAATACTGTCAATTATTAAGAACTGTTGAATAAGTTCCTTCTGTAATCTTTTTACTTAAACATCTCTAGTTGGAGAGAGGTTTAAAGCGTTTATTAAAATCTACGATTAGTTAGAACTTTTGGTTTGGTTTTCAGGCATTCCATTAACTTCTTTCAATTTACTGTTTTTGTTTCTTTCCTCTCAAGTAAGGCAAGCTTTTATTACTCTTAGGTAAAAAAGACTATATGGTAATGATGTAAAGAATGTACACATCCAACCTAACTTCTCTCTTGGATGGCTGACCCATAGATCAAACTGCTAATGACTTAACATCTTCTCATGGATGTCTAATAGACATTTCAAACATATCATGTCCAAAATTAAGTTCCGGATATCCACCCACCCCCTTACTTCAAATGTGCTCATTTTACTTTTAGTTGAGTACAATTCCATTTTTCAAGTTTTCAGTGCCATGATTCTTTTCTTTCTCTTACTTTCTATATCTGGTTTGTAATCAAATTCTGATGTCTCTAATTTCAAAATATAGCCAGAATTTAGCCACTTCTTCACAGCCAGAGACTTGGTTTAAGACACCATCATCCCTCATCTGTATTACAGCAATAACTTCCAATGGTCTCCTTTTCTTGCTTACTCTCCTACAGACTGTTAAAAACTTGCTTCAGATCATGTCATTACTCACTTAAAAACCTCCAATGGCTTCCTGACCCACCCTGAGTAAAAATCAAAGTCCAACTCTGACTTACAAGGCCCTATATATTCTAACTGTTCATTATCTCTGTGCCTCATCTCCTACTACTTTCTTGTTCCAAGCAGACACACTACCTGCTCTTAAGCCTTTGAACTTGCTATTTTTCCCCACATATCAGATGACTAACTCCTTCTGTTCCTTCAGATTTTTCTCAGCAGTCACTTTCTCAATGAGACCTTTCCCTCACTATGGAGAATAGCACAGCTTCCCCACCCAACACTTCTACTTGTCTTTCTCTGCTTTATTCTTCTCCATAGCATTTATCACTTTCTAATACCTTCCCTATCTCTCTCATTTATTGTCCACCTCTGCCACTAGCATACAAGCACCTGAAACTGTGCTGAGCACATAACATATGGTCAATAATTTTTTTGCTGTATGAAAGAATAAACAAATCATTTTGGAGGCATCCATTCACCTCCAGAATAGTTATGAGGATTATAGTAGGAATCCAAAAACAAGAAAACGTTCAGCTTTTGAAAACCAAAGTGTAATTTTTCAGCTAGTCGATAGGCTTGAGTATCAAAAGAAGCAAAATATTTTCCAAATTTCTTCAGCTCCCATTAATATATTAAGAACAAGGTTGTGCAAACTGGCTGTCAAGATTTTATTATATATCACAGGGAAGAGGAAATCTATGATCTGGCATCAGCAAATTTCTTTCAGAAAGGAAGGAGCAGAAAGCCTTTCTCTTCCAGGAAAGGTGATATTGGGAAGGAAGAGAGGCAGAGAAAACAACCCGTTGGATGTGTGTTTTCTGCCCACACCTCTCATGGTTAACATCACAGGAAGTGGGATATTAATTAAGTTGAAAGGAAAGCCAGAAGCAAGAGCTTTGGCCCATCTCCCACTGCATACCCTGAGACCATCTTCACACTGATACTGCGGCAGGGAGAGGAGAGTTGTAGAACAGTGCTCAAGCACTGGAGGGAAGTGGTTTAAAAAGTGGTTACAATGAGGAAATCAAAGCACTCCTAGAATAAAAAACTTTAGTGCAGGCAGACCAGACCAACCAGAAAGCATGTGGGAGACCCATACATGGGTGTGGGAGACACACCCAGAAGAAATAGGGGATCTGTAGTGCCATCTAGGATCAAGACAGTACATAATTGAGGGGAAACAATTAAGTTCTGGTTTAGTCAAGATAAACAAACCATAATTTCTTAGCCATAGATTTCAATGATGAACACTAGCAAGACTCTCATGGACTGGACCAGATTGAGCACAAGTCAGTGGTTATCAGTATCAACCACTGTAAATCCAAGAGTCAGACCAACACAAAAACCGTCATGAGGCACTCCACCCATCTGATGGATCCTAAACTTTCCCCTCATCCAGATTCCCTCTTATGAAGGGGCAGGCACAGGACAAATATTCCTGAGAACGAGTGGGTTATTTAATTGACGAAATGTTTACCTAATCAAATTGTTTTTAACTAGAAAGGAATTGTGTAAACTGAGAGAAAATGATGTACACAATGAATGGTAAACTGAAGTTTTGATCCCAACCACAGTTACTCCTGAGAGTAAATTGAGGGCTCAGGACAATTTTATCAGTTATAGATAAATAAAAAGTCACACACATTCTTTGCATGTCTGTATAATAATGAATTTTCTACCCTACAACCACAGCAAATACATCATCCCTTGCCTCCCTAGCCAGTCCTGAATTAAAATACTATGGCCAGTCTGAAACCAACCTAATCAATTTTTCACTTGCTACTTCACACTGACCATTCTAGGACAGGATAGAATTTCAACCCTGTCTAGGCTCTTTAGTCCACCCTTCTGAGAAAACTTATTTAGACAGGAAAAATAAGCTTTTATAACAATGGAAATGTTGGTTCTTGACATAATTAGGAGTGCATCAAATACAAAAATATGTATATAGAAAAAAGATATCTACATAGTTTAGTCAACTTTCTTCTCCCATGGTTCCAAGGAAATTCAGGACACACTTTCCTCCATATTCATCATGCAGTCAACCAATATCAAAACTAGGAAATGACACCCTAAAATATTTCCAAATGAAACACCAACCAAATATATAGTCATGTGACTTCAGGTAAAAAGTATAAATAAGGATATCCCTTAGTAAATGTAATACTTCTGAATGAAAATATTTTCTTTGAAAACAATGTAAAATACCTTGTTTTTATTTACAGGAAATTTCTTACTTTAACTCTATGTTTATCTGGGAAATACTAGTTCAATGTCATCTGTAATAGGGTCTCAGCTTTAGCATTGATCATGTAATAAAAGAATTTAATCTGTCATTTGCTAAATTTAATTGCTACTTCTGAAATAAAAATAAGGAGTTATATCCTGTTGTTGTTTTTGTTAGTAACTAGCTAAAAGAGTTTCTTGTCTAAGCAATCAAGCTAATTCCATAGTAATTACTTAAATTATAGATTGGTGTCTAAGACTTACTGGGGAAAACTGATGGTCATGAAGACTTATTGACTAATCAAGACTAACAACTCTATCCATCTTATAAAATCTCGCTCCAGCATAAGACAGGTAAGAATAATTGACATATCAC